GTTGAAGACTCGCATACATTCAAGAAAAATTTAGAATTCGCTGTATTCACGATACTTCAGACAAAACAGGTCCAATATAATCAATACACATGATTAAGCTTATTGAATTAGCATTCGGCATAGATAGAATGTCGGATATCACAAATATTTCTAAAGATAAATTGGAAACCAACCACAGAGATAGTGTCAAATAGTAAGTTATGCAACAGAACTAGACACCAATGAGCTGAATTTGAAATGTTCATAGAATGTTATTTTTTGAACATTTCATTTTTCTCAGTATAAGATTATTGAGTTTTATTGAGCCAATAGATGCAAAACTACCGGCATCCAACGGTGTTGACAACTAACTTAAGTCGACGACATTGTGCAGCCATCTTTCATTGTCTTCGAGAGGTAACCGCCTAACCGTTGGACTCCGGCCCATAGGTTTAAAAGTTGCGTTGCTGCGAGCAAAACCGAAAGTCCTTGGTTGGGTTCGCGCGTGCAGGATCATGGAGGTGCGCTGCTGAGGGATTCCATACCAGAACGGCTTAACTAGAATCGATTCACGATTTCAATGGCATTTCATTTTTAATTCGTTGGGGGAGGGGTGATAATGCAAGCGGACTAGAAAATGATACTATCAGGAAGCTTTATCATATTTCACTTGGTATTGTTTTGCTTGTATCTTCCCATTGAGGTTTAAGACTGCATTTGATCAGTATGTTATTGGCATATGTGCATACTGTGCGTATAACTCGATATTGCCTTAATTCACAAGCCATTTGTAAGCGATGATGGATAGTGGCTAGCAGTGGAATCCAGGACGCGCGTTTCGTCCTATTTGAGGCTCGTCAGCTGGATGTACCTGCATCTCAAAGTTGACGTTCATTCTGGGATTCGAACCCAGTACCACTCGCTTCAAACGCCATCGTGTTATCCACTCAGCTACGGAGTCCTTATAGCCACTTGCTTGTGCAATAGAGTCCCAAAGTGAACGTCAACTCTGAGATGCAGGTACATCCAGCTGACGAGTCGCAAATAGGACGAAACGCGCATCCTGGATTCCACTGCTAGCTACTATCCATCTTTGTTTATCATATTTGTTTACGAATTTATAGCTATGAAAATAAGTTGAAACACTTCTTAACTTTTAATACTGTCAATTGTCATCTAGCTTAACAGTTGTTATATCTTGAAAAGTTGATTTTTCTTGATACTACCGCGTATAACAGAGCACTAGAACACCAAAACCCTTCCAAGTCGCAATAAGAAGACAGAAGACTAATGAAAGGAATATTATTCCAAACAGTGTCAATCATAGTACAAAATTGTCAGGTATTTATAGTTTTTAGTGAGAACGAAATCATCATTACAGTCTTCCAATCCGCATACAGGGGGTTATTAGCATTATCCAGTCGGGAAGCTACACGTTGGAATTCTAGAACATTGTTCCGAAAGGTGATTGGACGGGACGTCTTTGGCTCCTTCTGAGCCTCTTACAGCTACCTCGAGTTCACCGGTGGTCCGTCGTCACAATAGTCATTTGGCAATTCAAGCTAATTTTATTACAACTTGAATGATTACAGCGATTTTGCGTTCTATGAGATGGATAGTTTCATTGTGAATCATTCATTTTCATTCAAAGCATCAACTTGTGTATCGTAATCGTCCTACTAGGCTATAAGTTTTTGACAACATTTTGAAGTCATCGATACTGAAATGCTAAAAATACTTAAATAAACAACTGCAAATAGACGAACTTGTAACGTAATCTTGCTCTATCAATTTTTAGTCATCATTATTACATATTTTTAATTTCACACTAGGGTCATTATTAATTGTCATTAATTACTGTTATTATTAGAAGTGTTCGACTGAGTTGTCAGCTCAATTTTTTCGTTTATTGTTTTCACTTTCAGATTCTCACAAACAAACTACTGTGAAAACTTCTTCAGTGAACATTGTAACTAACATTACGCTAAATGCGCAAATTTACCAAAAGCTGAATAGTAAAAACTACACTTTCGCCTACTTGAACGGTTAATCATATCCATTTAAAAAATGAACTCTGACAATTAATTGGAATCATCAAAACGTAACATAATAAAACACTAATCGACACACATATAACCTAAAAAGATATTACTAAGACAACCATGTTGGTAGATGAAGACTATTTGGTTGAGGTCCACGTGACTATCGTAAATAATGTTTGGATATTCTAGGTAACATAGCTCAGAATCGATCCCAATGGCGTAGGTGTATACACTCTATAGCTATAGCTATAGGTTCATACGTTGTTTTCCTCCAACAATCTCAAAGTACATGTGGAACATTGGTTAAATATTAGAATTTTCAAACTCTCCTACATATATTATCCGCACCCACCAATTTCTAATTAGACACGAACTATATCAAAATATACTGGTAAGTAGTCCATTTTCTCTGATTTCTCTAGCACTCCAGTCTTCAACAGCTTTTATCTTGTCTTGAAAAGCTAATCGGCTTTCCAACTTATATATATTATATATATATATATATATATATATATATATCACAGTGGCGTAGGTGTATACAATCCTTGTCTTTCCTTTTCTTTCTACGAACTAATTCTTCCGCCGTTTATTATATCCTTATATATTACTGTCATTGAAGTAACCACTGCTATGAATTTGGCAATCATCTTGTTGGGATATTCAGGAAAATATCCTAAAAATTATTCTATTAAGTCTAATGCTATTCTTGAACTTGAGATGGTATCATTTTCCTATTGGTGAATATTTATTTCACGTATCATTTTTCCTGTTGGCCAAATATTATACAAATGTTATTTTCTATTTTATGGTACGATATGGTCTGCTTGATTGGTATATAAACAGAGTATGTTTGAAATGATTCATATCTCAGAGGCTGAGACTTGCGTTCTGGAATCAACTGGCTGGGCTAGACAATGGAGCAGGGCCAATCAGGACTCCAAGTCGTTCTTGCGTGTTTTACGCGTCTTTGGTCCGATCGATAAATTCGCTGCTATCTAAATCTGCGGTCCACAAGATACAACAGTACTAATGATGTATGGCAACTAGAACCGATGCCCCCAAATGCCCTGGTACGGCCGAGAGTGGGGAGAGTTCGCTCTACCTCTCCAAATGCTTTCACATGGTCACGCGTATATAGCCTCTGCCAGAGAAGCCCTACTCATTACCTTCTCGTGACGGGGGTGTTGTTTATGAAATTGAGAGAACGAAAAACGAATGTCCGGCGCTTTAAATGGATCCCAAACCAAATCAATGGTGCACATGGGCTCCAGTGTCCTGCGGGAACAAAAGGCGTATGAACCAATCGTTGATCACCGGCTACCATTGGACTGCATCTCCTTACGATGCTCCACTGCCTTGTGGGTTAGACCTTTAGGTCAAAGGCTCGGGGTGTGGCCCCCTAAGATAACCACCTGCTTCGGTCTGGGCACCCGGGTAGTATCGCAGCCCACACGCAGATAATGAACTCTCTATATCTATGGAATATATCCTTTATAAGTAGAATACATGTCAAAATAAATATTACATTATTATTATCGTTAGTATATATAAAAGAAAGGAAAATAAAAGATGAACAGGACTAAAATAGTGAATATATAAGCAAATACATATAGAGAAGAGATAATATACACAAGTGATTCTTTCTTTCATTATTTACATAATACTAATTTTATTCTATAAAAAACGGTAAAAAGGGGTAAATGGTTTTTAAAAAAAAGAGCAATAACAAACGATTACAACAAATAATGAAAACCATCATTGAATAAACAAAACAAAAAAAGGAGAAAAGATTTTTACAGAAGAAAACGAAAATGTATGAAACACAAATACACAAACACACACATATGCACGCACGCATGCACACAAACATATATATATATATATATGCACATTAAAATGTATACAGTAAACACCAAACAATAATAAATAACATCATGAAAAAGAGAAAGCGAATGAGGAGTTTAATAGTTCAATTGTGCTCCGATTTATCCGCCGTGTTGCTTTAAAAAAAATGGTTTGGCGGGAAATATGTCATTTGTTTGTAATTTTGTTTTTGCACACATATAAACCTATTTTCATTTACATTGATAAATTGAAAGAAAACAACAAATGCATTTAGTCTTGAAGTATACATAAATTGTAGAGAATGTTGAAATAATAAAAAATAAGCAAAGATCTAAGAGAATCAGAATGGAATAGATAGATAGATAGATAAATACATGTCTTTATATATATATCAAACTAAATCACTGTTGAATAGAAACTGATAATAATAATAAAAGTCTTTAGAAAAAAAAGCAGAACGAAACGATGACAACAACGAGGTAGAAACAACGACTAGATTTAGTTGCATTGGAATTTAAAAAAAATAAAATACACTGAAATCAACCGATCAAGATGGTGTCTCTTTCTCCCTCCCTCCCCCCCCCCCCCACACACACACCCATAGAGTCCTCAAGATGGTGATTATCACATCATCAATGTTCATAATTATTACACATGTAAAAAAGCCAAAATGTAAACAGGTAAAAGAGACAAGAGTGAAGAAATGAAAAGAAGAAATAAAACAAAATGATTGTCTATTCTATGACATTTAAAAGGAAGAAAGAAATCGTATTCGTGAAATCACACATGATGATTAGATTGAGAAGAAGACATGGTAAAAACTGATTGATAGATTGATAGATAGTATCCTATTTATTTGTTTTCTTCTTCATTAAATAATAAATAAACACATTGGACGATGTTATACATCCGTGAAGAGTAGTAGTACACAATGATATTAATATGAATGTGATTGTTGTTGTTTGATAGAGTTTTGTGTTTAACAACAAAAGAAAATTTCTTTGAAGAAGGAAAACAATTTTTTCTAGTCAAATCGATAGAAAAATGCATCATATCTGTAAATAATGTATATATATATATATATATATATATATATATATATATATATATATATATATATATATAAGACAGTTATTATAAAGCTGTGTAAACTAATTTCTCATCTCCTGTACTTAATGCAGTATTCAAACTAGTATTATTTGTAGTCTGTACTAGATCTTCCACTATACCAGCGGCTGGTTGTACAAGTGGAATTGTACCGGATGAAATAGCTGTCCCAGAGAAAAATCCTGCTACTGTTGAAGCAGTCGATACTATACGTCCATTTGTCTGTTGTTGTTGCTGCTGCTGCTGTTGTTGTTGTTGTTGTTGAGGTGTGGCAACACGACGTTGAGGAGTCACTGTAATCGATGTCTGATTTGATTGTAATGCTGTAGGTTGGTGATTTATAGTCATACCAACTGGTCCAGTTGGCATAAACTGTGGTAAACCAGTAGTTTGAATAAGTTGACCATTTGGACCAACAGCCATAACTTTTAATGGAGCACCTGGTGCTAATGTAATAAATTGTGGAGTATTATTATTAGAATATCCAATGGGACCAGTAGTTTGACCAGTAATATTATCAGTAGACATTATAGTACCTTGTTGTTGTGTTGATTGTAATTGATGCGTTTGAGCTTGAATTTGTTGATGTTGTTGAAACTGTTGAGTTTGCTGATACGCTTGTTGTTGTGTTTGAATTTGAACAGTAGGTTGTCCTCGTTGAAGATGTAATCCAGTCGTTGCTGCTGTAGAGCATTGTGTTAATGCTTGTTGTTGCTGGTGTTGTTGTTGGTCGGATAATAATAAACTTGTGAAATTCGAAGCAGGACAACCAACAGGAAGTAGATGATATGATGTTCCTGCACCGTTAGCACCTATGATATAGAATAAAAGTCTTTTTAAAAGTTAATATGATATATACTACCATATAATTATTCTGAACAGAAAAAAGTGAATCAATTATTTATTTTAATAGTTGAATTCATGAGTCGATCTAATCTAAACCGTCATTGAAAGCCTCCATAAATCTCGATTCTGGTAATAATCATGTGCATACCTGTGACTAGCTTAGAGACGTAATTCTAGGAGTTCTAGTGAGAATCTGTGACCAGTGGAGCCCAATCCGTATCGGATGTGAGACATTTATCTACCTCAAACAATCGATGAAGGATTGTGCAAGATCATGGATCGACTGAAGTTAGACATTAACACCGTTGGATGCCAGCTCAGAAGCTAAGCGTTTTCGCGCAAAACCGAAGGTCCTGGGTTCGGTATCGTGAATGCACACTGTTGAGGAATCCCATGCTGGGACGAAATGACCGTCCAGTGTCCAGTGCTTCTAGGTTCTCAATGGTAGACTAGCTTAGATCAACTGATGAATTCAATTATCAAAATTTTACAGTATCCACAAATCCCCATACTTTGCAAATAAACAATTTATAAGAAATATTTTATATAAATAATCATTTATTTCATATTTTTAACTAATCGCTTATCAAGCACAAATATTAATTCAACAAGAAGAGAAGTAAACAGTTTAAGAATAACTGTTGATTCAACCATAAAGTCACTTATTTCACTCTTTTTTATGAATTAATGTCTCCAAATAGTCCTCAAAGAAATTAATAGAAGCCCAGAAAACGCTTAAAAATATTTTGTCCAATCAGGATACAATAGGAGTTTCTTCAAAACATCTAGAAGGATGACAGATCACATTTACTTTTTTGATGAGGTAATTACCTTCTCTTTGCTACATCTATTGTGCCACCAGAACTTTTCAAGCGACCGAGGTCACATTAAATAGTAGGCACAACTTTATATACATACTTTTAGATAAAAGTAACGCTCATTTTCACTTTTCGTCTTTTCTCTTGTGTTCATGTTGCCATGTAAGTTTAGTCTGGGATTATTAGAAGCGGCTGGGAAATCGTATCAAGTGTTCAACTAACAGATTTATTAATAACTTTAAGCATAACTAATAATAGCACTTTCACTAAACATCTTACAAGTATTACCAAAAATAACATTTAAATTTTGTTAGTGAAATGAATTAGTGAGGTACAGAATCTTCATCGACTGAGATGGTTAGGCTATGTATTACATATGCCTCAACCACGGCTAATTTCGACACACACAATGTTCTCTGAAGTAGTAATAGGTTGAAAGAAAACTAAACCAGGTCAAACCAAGATATTGAATTAGTCTATGAAATTATTGACTGAGAGGAATTGACAAGTTTCAACAATCAGGTTTAGGGTTTGTACGGTAACCGTGATTAGTAGTTGTAGACGTTACAGTTCCACAGATGATAATCTTTATCTACTTCCAAATATTTATTTATTTATTTCAACACATAGATAATGGTACAAAGAGGCACCAAATACATATGCGCCACACAAATCTTATTCGATATGTGTGAGGGCTGTGATACTGCCCGGGTACCCAAACCGAAGAACGTCCAAATATTGAACTTCAGTATTACTTCATACTTTGCATTCCTCAAAACAGTATTCTTCATTGTCTGAATCTTCCACCATATATCTTGACAGTTTTACTATTTCTAGACTAGTAGATTTCATTTTACGTCGTGTTTATTTAGTGTAGCAACTTGCATCATCGTATATATGTACTAACTTGTACGTTACTTTTGGCTGACTGTCTAAAAACTATCCAACGAAGTGAATCCAGAACTTCACTAAAAGTCAAATGATATAGAACCATACTTTATTTCATTTAATTTATCACAGTAGTTTTCTAGAAACATCTTAACATGGAACTTCATCGTTTATGCTCTTCTAGCTATTGCAACTGATAAAAATATTTAGTCAGAACACATTGAGAATCAATTTATTTGTGGTATGAGTGTGAAGCAGCATATCGTCAATATACGACTTTCCCCGCTTAAATAATTTGAACGCTAGTAATTTATTTATCGTTCACTGCCGCTGGGCTGAAGCCTGAGGTAAATCGCACCTACCCCTATCTGTGTACTATGAACAGTATATATCCTTGACGTGTGCACTCTATATATACATGTAACATTTTTGCGTTTGTACCATGTTCCATACTGATATATTAGCTATAGCTTTCAAAGCTATAGGTTCATACGTTGTTTTCCTCCAACAATCTCAAAGCGCATGTGGAACACTGGTTAAATATTAGAATTTTCAAACTCCCCTATGTGGATTATCCGCACCCACCAATTTCTAATTAGACACGAACTATATCAAAATATACTGGTAGTTAGTCCATTTTCTTTGCTTTCTCCAGCACTCCAGTCTTCAACAGCTTTTATCTTGTCTTGAAAAGCTAATCGGCTTTCCAACTTAGTTATATATATATATATATATTACGATCAAAATAAAATTTACCAGCAGGGGCCTGTGCCAAATACACTTGTTGTGGATAAGCTGCTTGTGGAGCACCGCCAGTAGCGGCTGCTTGTAATCCAACTGGATGTTGTGATGTAAATAATAATTGCTGTTGTGCTTGGTGAGCCATTTGAATTGAAGCTTGTTGCATAGCTCCTGGTTGTTGTGTGAACATTTGTTGTTGTTGCTGCTGTGTATGTCCAGCTGTCGGAGTACCAGCTCCTCCTGAAGGTGACTGGATAGCTGTACCAATTTGTTGTGGTTGTGGTTGATGATAAATTGTAGAAACATTTGGCCAAGTTCCAGCAATTCCCTGTTGTTGATGTTGATTGGGCTGTTGAAATTGAACAGTTGTTGGAACACCTTGAGTGCATGGAGTTGTAGACCATTGCAAAAGTGTTTGACCACCACTACCAGTATTACCACCATTACCTGCAGATAAATTTGAAGCTTGTGGACTAATAAAAAATTGTTGTGCTGTACCAGTTGGATGATTATTAGAAAATTGGAATTGTGGCGTACCAGCAGCATAACAACCCGATGCTACAGCTGTTTGAGTACCACCTATTTACAAAGTAATAAAATAAACTCAAACATTATATTGATTTCATGATAATCAAAATAAACAGTTACTTTACGTTTAATCTATAACAATTAAATAATAATATACATAAGTGAGTTAGACAATACAACTCTAGGGATATATACGCCCCCCAAATGCCTTGGTGAGCCCGATGATGGGGAGAGCTCTCTCGAAATACTCTCATATGGCCACGAGTATAGTCACTCCCAGAGAAGTCCTATTCACTGCCATCTCGTGACGGGAATGTTGTTTATCTTGAACAAATTGAAAATTCTTCTAGACGTTATATATCAAACAGGGCTTCAAGTTGCTTTGCTTGAATACGGGGCACTGTGAAAGAAGAAACAACAGGAGAGCTGAAGCTAATAATGTTAACAGTAATGTCAGTTAAACCAAACGTAGAACCTGGCACATATATATATATATATCGGTTCAAAGTGTCATACGCCATCAAAATATTGAAATGAAATTGTCAGGAAAAAGCCCATAGTAGAGGTAGTGAGAGTAATAATAGTAATGAAAAAAATTAGGCATTAAATATATTATTCGTGGAAATATAAATCCGGTGAAGTAAAAAAAAAAATTGAGCAATTTAGAAACTTGGGATCCAAGAGAAGTCAAAGAGTACATGCACCTGCGCTATTGCGAATAATTCAACTATTGGTTACTATAATCACATGGACCTCAATCAGGTATTATGAATATAACTATATGGCTCAGTTTAATAGCCAGTGTCTTCACGAACTGATAACATGTGTTTGTTTGGCCGCCCCTAGCCTTCTTATAACTTATTCCCACACCAGCCATAATCATGCATCGAGGGAGTCGATGGATGGGTATAAGTAATACATGTTCTTGAATTGTTGATCTCAAGGTTTCTTAAATACGAGGTAGGCCCTAACTTGGAATCCTGAAGGGAAGCGAAAAAGAGAAAGGCCAAAGAACACATTGCGTCGGATAATAGAAGCAGATATGAAAACGATGAATTACAACTGGACGGAGCTAGAAAGGATTGCCCAGGACAGGGTTGGATGGAGAATGCTGGTGTTTGGCCTATGCTCCTTCACGAGGAGTAACAGGCGTAAGCAAGCAAGCAAGCAAGGTTTCTTAAATAACTACCCGTGTAAGAACCAAATCTAATGACTGCAAGTAAAGAAAAAAAACGTGTACATCTCAACCATGTAGCGAAATTAACAAATTCAAGCCTCATACTCATTTCTTATCAATCGATTATATTCAGAAATTGTCAGTTGGAGTACCAATGAAAATCAGAGAGGAGACAGGTGTTCTGTCCTAGTATAGGGCATATTGACAGTGTTCACAAGTACCATATTTTACTCAATGTAGCAATACCTAAAAAAAAGCCTTCCGCCTACCTTTCAAGAGAATTTTGATATGGTCAGTTAGAAACTGAGCATTATCCCCTATGATACATCTAATATTTTAAGACAGTTGAGGAAAAAACTTACACATACTTTAATGCTTTGTCATTATTCTAACTAGAAAGTATTTATTTTCAATGTATAATTCATTGGTCTATGGAACGAAGGTTACAACGAAAATCCAGTTTAAAGTCATATGACACCTAAACAGTTAAAAGGTTTAGTGTATCTAAGCTTTCAAATAGTTTATGAGGACACTAAAAAAATTCACAGGACCAGAACAAATTACTTGTTACTTGACTAATGACTTTCTCCATGGACTCATTAATGGATGGAACTCGTTATCCCAACATGTGATTGAAACTTCATCATTCGACGCATTTAAAAGCAAGTTGGATCACCTGAGAGACCCTAGCTGGCAGGACTAACATAGGCTACCCAACCTCCCGTTCTTTCTAGAGTGAAACTGATCATATATATACATGAGGACAATAACAACAACAACTACTACTACTGATTAATTCACAAACATGAACAACTAACACTAAGATCCAAACATATCGACATATCTATTTGTTTACTTATGTACTGAAGACAAGCTGCATAAAAAAAGTATTGATTTAGAGACTTCATTCAACCCTTTCAATAATCAAATCCACGTTCAAGTACACACATGGCTAGCACTAAACAATTTATCGTATTAGAACATTATCGTTGACGTGCTTTTAGAGATAACACTTTCCTCATCTAAATTTCCAGGGGTTGAACTTCTACCACGAGATTCACTTGTTGACTTGGGATATGCCGATAACATAGTTCTATTTGGTGAAGACGCTGACAAAATGCGGAGTCCTCTGACCACAATAAGCAACAATGCAAGCATGTTCGGGATGCGATTCTCCCCCTCGAAATGCAAAATGTTGCTTCAGGATTGAGTTGCATTGACACCCGAACTAATGATAGGGAGTGAAGTAATTGAGCGTGTCGATCGTTTCAATTATCTTGGAAGTCTCATCAGCCCTTGTGGTCTGGTGTGTGACGAAGTCTCAGCACGTATACAGAAGGCTCAACTAGCTTTTGCCAACTTGCGTCACTTATGGCGTAGGCGAGATATCCATCTACCAACCAAAGGACCGGTTTACTGTGCAACAGTTCGTTCCGTCCTACTTTATGGCTGTGAAATATGGCCAGTAAGCGAAGAGGATATTCGTAGGTTACTAGTATGTGATCATAGGTGTCTTCAAAACATTGCTCGTATATCCTGGAACCATCGAGTAAGTAACGCAGTTGTTAGGAAACGGGTACTAGGTAAGGATGGCAAATCCATTGATGAAGTAGTGAAACTTCATCAGATGGCTGGGACACGTGTTACATATGCCCCACGACCGACTGCCTCGACGTGTGGTGTCCAGTGGCATAGGAGTAGGTCGGAAGAAAGCTAGGGGCGGCCAAACCAAAACATGGCACAAGTCCATGAAGTCACTGACATGTGGACTGAGTCATGTTGGTAGATGTAGACTACCTGGTTGGGGACCGAGAGATGATAGCAACCGATGGTTAGAGACCCTGAATGACATGGCTCAAAATCGTTTGCAATGGCGTAGGTGCATACACTCTTTGTGTTCTCCCAAATTCTAATCTTCTGAATTCTTCATGTCCCTTTTTTTCCTCTTTCCAAATTTATTTCACTGGATTTACACTCTTTAAATAACATCTTCAAACCTTAATCTTTCCGATTACTGCTTATACTCTTACTACCTCTACCACTAGGGGATTCGAATCGACAACTGCATCTCTGTGCTAATGTGGTATGGCAACTCGAACTGATGTACGTACGTGCGAAGTTTTACGTTGTTACCGACTAATTGACTGATTAGTGATAATATTCTGTTGCATAAATTGAAATTAATGTAGTAGTAGAGTTCTCAACATCATCATGATCTGTGATGTGCATCCACAATCCCACGTGCGGGACTCGAACCCAGGACGGTATCGTGGATGCGCATTGCTGAGGGGTCTCATACTAGGACGAACTGGCAGTCCAGTGCTTCCAGGTTCTCAATGGCACTTTATCTTAAATTAACTCGTGAATTCAACTGAAACTACTGTAATCTCCACAAATTCCCATACTGATAATCATCTTAATTATTAAAAATCAACTGATCTAATATCCTTAGGATATAATGATAGTAATAATATTATTATTATTAATATTAATAATAATATGGAAGGAACTATTTTTGTTCGAATTCAACATTCAATTATCTTAGATGCCCCCAAACGCCCATGTACGGTCGATAGTGGAGAGAGTCAGATCTCCCATTCCAAATGCTCTCACATGACTACGTGTGTACAGCCACGCCCACGGAAGTCCTATTCACTACCTTCTCGTGACGGGAATACTGTCTACCAAAATGAGAGGATGAAAAGCGAATATCTGGCGCCTCAACCGTGTTGGTGGATACGGAAGATCTGTTCAGGGGAGTTGGAAAACCCTAACTTCAAATTAATTTTCCATATCCGCTCCAGGATCCCGAGGGAACAAATGGAGCATCAGTCTATTGCTGGTACCGGCTACCATAAGAATGTATCTCATAACGTTGTTCTATTGCTTTGTGGATTAGACCTCTAGATCAACGTTTCGGGGAGTGGCTGCTTCAGAAAACCATCTGCTTCGCTTTGGGCGCCCGAACATTATCCCATCCCTTACACTAATCGAATGACGAAGTGTGAAGCATTTAAATTTAGTGCCTCCTTGTACCAAGGTTTATGTGTTCAAATAAATACATAAGTGGATAGACAAGAGCAGAAAGGAATAATAACATTGATCTACGAGAGTTAATTAATTATATATACATGCACACAAACATTATATTTTACATACCAGGATGAACAGGTATAGCTGTAGCTGTTCCACCAGCGGCAGCCGCCGCCGCTGCTGCTGCCATTGTTGACAAAGTGACCATTGGTGTAGTAGACATAAAATGACCACCAGCACTAACAATCATTTGATGTTGTGGTTGTGGCTGTTGTAAAATTTGTTGTTGTTGCTGTTGTTGAACAGATTGTTGACTGAACTGTTGTTGGAATTGTTGTTGTTGCTGCTGCTGCTGGTGTTGTTGTTGTTGCAGAAGAAATGTTTGTTGTTGTTGTTGTTGTTGTAGGACTTGTTGCTGTAAGACATGTTGTTGATGTTGTAATTGTAAATCAGTTGTACAATTTGTAAATGTTATACCAGTTGTATTATTTGTAGTAATACCGGTTACATTCATAATTTGTTGTATGGATGTAGTTTGTTGTAATGATTGTTCCGTTGAATTATTAATATTATTGGATGACTTTTTACGTTTAGCTATTTAAAAGAAAATTTAATACAAAAATACATTTCAATTATTCTGTTATTAATGGAATTTTATTCATCTTAATTGGTATATACATGTGTGTATTGTTTACAGATCACCTTAAATATAATTGTCATATGCTTATAAATAGAATAGATGGAATGTAATTAAATTAATGGTGTCTAAAATTCACATTTTATCTTATTTTAGATAATTCAGTTGAATATATACCTCAAAGTTGATCCAACCTCCAGCCGAAGAGGAAATTAGAGAAAGATGTTGGAAGTGGATAAGATATAACATTGTGGAAATCATCAAACTGCATTACGAGGCAAGTGCTAACTTGGAGTCCTGAGGGGAAACAGAAAAGAGAAAGACCAAACAACACACAACGTCCAGAATTGGAAGCAGACAAGAAAAGGATGAATAACAACTGGAAAAGATTGATCAGGACAAAGTTGAATGGCGAATGCTGGTGGGCGGCGACCCATGCTTCTCCACGAGAGGTAACAGGCGTAAGTGTTGATATTGGCTATAGGATTTGAATCCAGTATCATTTGTTCCAAATACCAATGCATTATCCACTTAGCTACTGAAATCCAAATAACTACTCACTTATGCAATAGATATGAATTTTAGTTTAATTTGTAAGGAATCGAATTCATACTGATTGTACAAATAAGTGGCTACTTGAAATAACTAAACAAGTCGATAGATAACGTGTTGTCGTTTGAAAAGAAAAAAAACGTTACTGGGTTCGGATTCCAGAGTAAACATGAATTTTGGGACAAAGATACATCCAGCTAACAGACAGACAGAAAGTGAACAAGGGTGAAGGAATATGAGAAAACACGAGAAAAAAACCCACTGTAATACAAAGTTGTAATTAACAGAGTTCTCTAGCAATGACAATTCTAGATTGATGATACCGATAACACAGTCGTTAAAAATATCATACAGTGTGAGCTGAACAGTTTTTGTGTCCAACCTCGTAAGACAACATAGAGATACTATTCTATAACCATAATTATTCATTTATGTACAGGTAGTTCGAATCTGAACGATTGTCATAATAAAACAGATTCATATATGATAGAAATAAATAAGAAAATAAAGAAAGTAATAATTCGGCAAATACTGTAGAAACATGTCAGTTTTCATTATTTCTCTCCTAGAGATGAGACATGACAGGAAACATTTTCCCAGTCTATTGTTACTAATACCTAATTCACATGTGAATTTTACTGAAAAGCATTGTGAGCACATGCACCTCTTAACTACCATCATAATTAGTAACATAGTATTAATAATAATAATAATAAGGGGTAGTTGAGATAACCAGACACAGGCTTTTTTTTATACATACTTCAGCCAGTAAAAACGTTGTCTCAATTGAATATAGTAATAATATTGTTGTTGTTGTTGTTTTTCATTACTGCAGATTAAATTATGTACAGAGTACATCGAGTGGAGATTAGACAAAGTTAGAAAAATTCTATCAATATATGTATTAAAATGAAATAAAGAATGAAAGCTTAAGGGGAAAGGCAGGACATAATAGACCACAAGGCTAAATCGATAAAAGCATAACAACAGTAAACATAGATATATGTATATATGTATCACTCACCTATAATAATAGAGAGAGAGAAAATTGGACAAACAAACATACAAATTATGGTCTAACCTTTTTTCTCTACCATACACACCAAAGGAGGCAGACAAATGAAATAATCACGCAAATTAACTAGTTGTATACATATAAACAAAAATAATAAGTTTTAATTCTAAGTAAAAGGGCAGATATAAAAATGAACATGCAATTTATATGACTAGGTAAGAAAAGAGAGAGAGATAGAAAGAGACAAAGACTAAGCCAATATTAGACCTAAATATACACATATGTATATGGACAGAGAGAGAGAATGAATATATAACTGTCCTCGGGTGTACAAACGAGAAATATAGAAAAATTGACCGGTTTTATAGACTAAATGATTAAATTGCTAGCCCGGAGTAGAGACAATATTTAGATTTGACTTTGTTGTATATTTAACCCATTGATAATTTAAATGACCTATGATGATAGTAGGTACAAAATGTGCTTGAATTTTGAAATACAACAAAGCTCAGTAATTTCCATGTGTAGTTAGTTAGTTGTTAGTTTACTATGAAATGAAGAAATTCACATAATACAATCATCAAATGAACTTGTATAAAACTTCAATAAACCAATATCTTTAATAAAATATGACGCGAAGTGGTAACACAGGAGAAAAAAAGAAAGAGAAGAGACAACAAACGAAAATTTAGTTGTAGAAATGATTAGTATTGCTATTATTATTATTATTATTATCGTCAATGTTCAAACTGGTGGGACAGGACATAGAAATCGTCTATCTAACCAAAGAGAAAGAGAGAGAGAGTATGTGTGTAGTGTGATAAGAGAGAGATCAAAGTTAGGGTTTTTGTAATAGCAACACTCTCTATACAGTGTATCTATATATATACACCATGATAAGATTGAAATGAAATGAAAAAGTTAAGAGAATATACCTAACCTCCTACTACATATATATATATATGTATAAATACTTAGTAAAGAATTATTTTTCATAAATGGACAGTAATATTTAGCTTTCTATCCATTTTCTATAAGATCTGTTATTGTTTGCATAATCATCAACACCATATTGGTACAGAATATTGTATCTTTTCTGTTGAAATGACACGAAAATAGATCATCATCATCATCATCATTACAATAATAGTAATGATAAAGGAAACACAGAAAACTAACCATATTTCTTCTATACTTCACAAGGTTCACAGAAATATTAGAAGATAGAGGAATAGAAATATTCAAGGGTGAGACAGATTAGTATATATACAGTGCATTTTATCATTAATTTGTGAAAAATTAAAGGAACACAATGAGCAGATAGTAACTATTAGTGTGTAGAAAGAAAGAAAAATGCATTATACTACTTCCATACTACTAATATACCGCAAGAACATGAATAAATATAACAGTATTTTTTACAGCGATGAACTATATACAGGAGAGTAAGGTGAGCGAGTTAGCAAGCTTTTAAAGTTACTAAATCATCCTTCCAGTTGAAGAAGAAATTACGAAAAGACGATGGAAATGGATAGGAAATACATTACGCAAATCATCAAACCGAATCACGAGGCAAACATTACGTCGGGAAATAGAAGCAGATATGAAAAGGATGAATAGGAACTGGAAGGACCTAGAAAGGATTGCTTGAGACAGTGTTGGATGGAGAATGCTAGTGAGCGGCCTACGCTCCTTCACGAGGAGTAACAGGCGTAAGTAAGTAAATCATCCTATCATTTCATAATTAAATAAAGAGGATTTCAATTAGTCTAGGTCTAGCGAATGTTATGTATATTTGAATAACAACAATAGAGCTACTTTCTGTTCTCTCTCACACACAACTGTATATTGGTGATGTAATTTTAATACTACGAATCTTTTAAACAAATTTGAATATTGCATATTGTAGGTGGAAAATTACAAAAGTATGCAGCCAGGAAAGGGTATACAAAACTGGGGATTAATTATTAGTCATTTTAGCATTTAACTTCATCATGAAATAATTAGCGATTCTAACCTTTCGCTTTCACATGTAAACAACAACAATATATATTTTCCTGGAACTAATTTAAGTTTTGAAGTAACTGATTAGTTTTAATATTAAATGTAGCTGACCAAGAGGACTTAATAACAATCGATTTTAAACCATTAAGAGACAAAGTGAAAATGTCTAGGCAAACAATGTTGAGAATTTGCTTTCCATGGAACATTACACCATTTAATTTGTCAATTATAAATGAAGCAAGACTCGGGGCACAAATCTGAGTTCACATACTATATCAGCATAATGAGGTGAATAGCAAACGACGTCGATTATGAATACAGTGGTCTTGAGTGCTGTTAGAGATATGAGGGCGGTTACCACTTCCCGGTTGCCCACACCGTGGAAGGGCTCTTCCGGAGGTACCTGAAAACGAAATTGGATTAGAGGTGGTCTTAGTGACTTGAGAGCGTGACAGCAGTGTCCAAGAGACAACTGATTGAGGCCGGCCACACACATCTTTTTATGAGTAATTTTTGTGTTAGCTCCGTACTTGTTGAGACCTTACCGCCGGAGACGGATATCCGTGGGATAAGGCGAGATGTGCATTTTTAGGGTCGACCTTTTCTAACCCCACTCCTCCTTGTGGGAAGGCAGTATCACTGTCATGCTGGTTGTCTGAAGGAAACACCTTATTGCTGTCACACCTCTGTACAGTTAGCAGTACGACTTCGCCTTCGGACCTTAGGTTTGTTACTTTTAGTCTTACCGCTCTTCAACCGATCTGTCTGACATGGTAGAACCTTGAGGAACGGTTGTTCCAGCAAACAACGTCGAAATAATATAGTAGTAGCATAAACGGTAGCATAAGATTAATTATGAAGAAAGAAGGCATGAACTTGTAGGATGAGGAGTATGGGATTATACTGGAATATACTGGGAAAATAATGAATAAATACACCCAGGTCACTGCAACTGATTTCGAAACATACCAGTCAACATCTCAAGCCATTGATCATGATTATTATGTTGATAACACTAACTAGGTTATTTGCACCTACCAAAACAAAGTCAGTAATAACTTCACGAACTAGTCACCCACAGCTTTCTTCTAACCTATTACCTACTCTAACTAGCACTGTGTATCAGAATAAGGAGCGGTTGTGCAAACGCAAAAAATGTCTCAGTCACCTCAGTTAATGAGAATTTACAAATTCGCTGACAAATTTGAGAACTACAATAAGTTAGTATTTTAAAATAGTCATTACCTAATCAAAGTTACTTACACACACACACACATACAACCATTAGATATCAGAATTCTTGCCTCGTTTAAATTCCAAGTCACTATCAAACTGATTGATTATTTTGAACTAGACGATATTGAAAAGTGAAAAGGTAAGTGAACAGTTAAAGTGGCAAATAATATAGATTAAAAGGAACATTGATGGATGGCTATGATAAGAAATGGGACAAGAAAATGGCGACACACGTTTCATAGAACATCTAGAACTTACACCTACAGAAAATGACTTTATACATTACTAATTGTTAACTAAATTTATCTTTGACATCTTCTGTGAGTTAACATGGAGACATAGTTAGGACGAATTAGTAATGATAACAATATAAATTAAATTGTTAATTCACGGGAACTGACAATCATATTGCAACTAGGCAACCATGTATAGATTCATGTAAAAACAGATTAATATAATCAAGTTGTATAAATCTTTACAAATAAGAAAACCATAATAAAATGACTGGAAGTAGAATAATTGAATCATAGATAAGCAATGCAGAAGAAAAATTTTAGTGATTGGATTATCAATCACAGTCCTTCATAGTACAAGGGGAATGAGAACCAATGAAAGAATTTAAACTGACAAAATTGAGACACATTTTAATAATAACAGGTTGGAACTATCCTACAATTACGTAATAAAATATATCATGTCAAGCTGTAATCAACGTAAAATCTAATATACAAAATGTACTCTGACTCATGTTGCTACACTATATCACCACGATGAAATGAAATAAACAAGATGAAGAAGAGACAAAGAAATTGAAATAGTTGTAGCAGCAACAGTGGGAAAGACTAATTATTCAGAACAAAGTTTTAAAAAAACAAAATCAAATTGTCCGTAAAGAGAAACATAGTTACACAAGATCTTGAGTAACCTGCCCCCAAATGCCTTGGTACGGTCGATGATGGGGAGAGTCCTCTCTCTCTCTCTCGAAATGCTGTCACATGGCCACGCGTATACAGCCACTCCCACGGAAGTCCTACTCACTGCCTTCTCGCAGTGGTGTTGTTTACGAAATTGCGAGGGTGAAAAGCGAATGTCCGGAGCTTTAACCGGGTTGGTGGACAGAGAGGATGCACATAGGGTAGTTGAAAAACCCTGATTCCAAAACAATGGTGCACATGGGCTCCAATCTCCTGAGGAGACAAAAGGTGTATGAACCTATTGTTGGTAACCGGTTGCCATGGGACTGAGACTCCTAACTTTGTTTCACTGCCTTGTGGATTAGACCCCTAATAAGATTATTTGCTTCTGTTCGGGTGTCCGAGAAGTATTCCATCTCGTACACATCGAATGATTTGTGTGGCGCATATATATCTGTATGACACATTGTCGAGATGTCATAACTTTATTAGTTAATATATTCTTGCTTAATTGAACTCTTCCATCCTACTTTCGGTTATCTTAATATTAAATTGAAACTGCGTTTTTGCACCACTACCCGATAAATTCTAATCTTATCTACAGATATCTGAGAAAATAATTAGTATCATTAATTAAAGTTTCTCATACTGTTTTTTCTCACACTCACCATCAGTTCGGGTCGTTTCATCAAGAAATCAGACGAGTTGTTACATTAGTTTGTATCTTAGTTCTTTTCTTTTAAAAAATACAGACCATAAGAAACGACAAACTGAAATTACGATCAAGAAATCAAGGAGAGCACATAAACTAGGGAGAATCTGACTTTATATTTAGTCAATTGGAAGGGATAACCTTAGGGACTTAACAATATGGAGTTGTATAATATACAAACCGATAGGAGATCTATTGTTTTGCTACATTGGTTCAGTACTTGAAATAATTATCAGCCTACAGATTGTAGACTCTAACCATGTACCTGCTACTTATGTTTGATGACCTTGTTAGTACCATTCACAATTACATAATAAGTTCGGAATGAAGATAAGGGGATAGATTTACACTTGATTACATTACCATCTACTACTCATTACAACTTCAATAGCATATTGTTGTATAACACTGTGGGAAGAACCTTGATGGATCAAATAATATTTGAATTAAATAATTTCTATATTCAACTTCCATCTTTGATTCCTACAAATTATGCTAAACATTCATATCTATGAAATGTCAATAATGATTAACATGGTGTGGTTTAAAACAATTTAATAAACATATACCTAATCAGTCCATCATAGACCAACATATATGTGCATCGGTGAAAAGTTACTTCAAGACAAATCCCAGTGTAGTAGGAGTAATAACAGTATAAGTAGTAGTAGAAAAGACTAGTTATAGAAGAAAAAGGAAGGTATAAAGAGATCTCAAAACTTTGGTCCTATAAAGAGTAGGGACTGAATCCACTTGCTCCATTACAAACGATTCTGAACGGCCACTAGTTTCCTTTCGACCTAATTCTACACTATACATCGTCGTCCGTCGAGACAGGAGGTGGCTGGGTATAAATAACATATATCCTGACTACTTCAGCTGTTGAGAATTCACTATCTATTCAATCGATTTGCCATGCTTATCTAGTACCCTATGTCTAACCTAAGCATTATTTGGTCGATGGTCCAAAAGTAGACGAGCGATGCTTTGAAGAAAAGTATGGTAGAATACTAGTGACCTGAACATTTTCTTAAAACATTTATTGAAGTTAACTTATAGATCATAAAACTACTGATTCTTTACATAGGATGAAGTTGAATATCAAAAACAGAATTAGTTGACAAATGTTAACATTTTCCGATGAATAAATAATATACATTTCAGTTAGTCATTAAAAAACAGTACAACCATCATTTACAGCTTATTTAGCCGAATCTAATGTTTACCATATATGTATATGTATGTAATCATATTGATAGAAAAATGCTATGATTAGTATTATATCAATGTGATTCCTAATATTGTCTTGGAGAAACGTCTTTAATATGATTAGTTCTACATAGAACAATAAAATTTAAATCGGAAATAATAGAAAGAACATATTTTTAACGAAATATGGAAAAGAATTTATGATTCATTTAACACTCTATTGCTATTACTTACGTTTTGCTTTGGATTTTACTTTACCATCAACGGATACACCATTTGAAGCTTGAGAAACTGCTGTAACATTAGCGCTATCATTAGGCATAACCTGACTTGAAACAATTCCATTCACTAAAGTTCCATCACCAGAATTTACAGCAAGAGCTGCAGCAGCGGCCGCTGCTGCCGCTTCAGCTTTTCGTTTACGACGTCGTTCAGCTTTACGTAAACTTTTTGGATCTGGTTGAGTGACACGAAATTCGGTATAATCAGCGAACACTACTTCAGAATCAGGTAATTCAGCTAAATCACCACGTACATAATCACGTAGTTTTCTTAAAGCTAAAAAGAATGGAAGTTTATCTTCAGCACGCGGAAGTTGTGCGCATCGTGCACTAGACGAAGGCATCACAAAGATGACCTATAATGAAATAAAGTTAAATGATCACGTATTAAGGTATGTAAGATGTCATTGTTAAAAATACAATGAACATATTAACCTAGATAGTGTCTACTTCGAGATTTTATTTAACTTCGTTGATTCCCCAAAATAGAACACACAAAATCCATCATTGTACACATAATTTTGAGACAATTTGTTTGACGAACACATACTGAAGTAAATAAACTCGACACGTACTCATTAATTAAACACTGACAACTAAATCAAGGGATAAAAATAATAAACACGATATCACTGATATCATGGCCACCTCATGAAGTTAATTAAATAAAAGGAAAAACACAACTGAATAAAAAATTTTCCAACTTGTAAAAGCTTGCAATATAACTTACTATATCTGTACCATCCAAAGTTGTAGGTTGCCTTCCCATGCAAAAATTTTTATGTCCAACATATGCTTCATAAATGCCTATAGAGAAAAATAATGAAAAAGAATGCTAATAATCCATTCTGAGCATTTAGGTACGCAGACATAAGAGTGAAATAGTAGTTTTCCAGTCTGGTTAACATAAAAGACTAATACAAAGTCCCAAAGTGTTCATATTCATAACTAAAACGAAGCTTATCATAACAAACTTAACAAATGGTACCGCTTTAACTTATGATGTATACTAGTTTCTTTCAAATCATACTTTATAAATGTTAGTTGATGATCAGAATAAAAAGTAAGTACTGTTATAATGACTTTAATTACCATATAAAAGAGATCTGAAGATGAAATTGTACCAAAATATGATGAAAGCAAGTTATATTTCCTCGAATGACCAATATTTTAAGTAATGTCACATCAACATACTAGTAACGTGGAGCTAATGAAGAGTAACTTGAAAATTTTACAGTTCGTCTTGTTAAACAACTTTGTTTTACTGGCACTAAAGTTTAGGAAGAAAGCACGAAGCTAAAAAAAACGAGTATTCTTAAAAACTATATATATATAGCAGACTTTCGTGGTTCAAAATTCTCACGATTTCACTGGGATACAACTTTTACGGTGCGTATTTGAGGCGCCCATCACCTTTGAATATCCAGAAACACGCATATCTAATTACGTTCAGTGTGAGAATTAAAATGGTTGATTCCTGTTTACTATGACTTAGCACCCAAGTAAGTGTTTTAGAATTTATATTTGAGTTACCTTTTTCAATATAATAGCTAGTGATATTACTTAAATAAGGTGGTTTGGAGTTCGAACATGCAACACTGTGATTATAAGGGAAGCGCTCCAACCGTCAAGTCACTGCCTTATTCTACTGTTGTTAACAGCAAACGAATATTAGTAGTTTTACAACAATAAGTAAAATTAGTCAGTCATACGTAACAAAGAACCTGGGACATATGTTTATTGGTTCAAGTTACTACATCACATTAGCACAGAGAGATGAAGCATACCAGAGTAGTAGAATTACTAATACCATTACTAACCGTACTTACTCTTGGATTTTTATTATAATCTCGTCTGATTATGCTAATGCAGCACGCTGGTGAAGACGCTGACAAAATGCAGAGTCTTCTGGTAGCACTAAGCAACAATGCCAGAATGTTTGGGATGCGCTTCTCTCCCTCTAAATGCAAGTTGTTGCTTCAGGACTGGTCTGCGTCAACACCTGAACTAAGGATAGGGAGTGAAGTAGTCGAACGCGTCGACAACTTCACTTATCTTGGAAGTCTGATCAGCCCTAATGGGTTGGCGTCTGACGAAATCTCAGCACGGATTCGAAAAGCTCGTTTGGCTTTTGCCAACTTACGTCACCTTTGGCGGAGGCGAGATATCCGTCTATCAATTAAAGGACGAGTTTACTGCGCGGCAGTCCGTTCTGTCTTACTTTACGGCAGCGAAACATGGCCTTTAAGAGTAGAAGACACCCGTAAGCTACAAGTATTTGACCACAGATGCCTTAGAAATATTGCTGGCATCTGCTGGGATCACCGGGTAAGTAATAGTGAGGTTAGACGCAGGGTATTAGGGAATGATGGTAAATCAGTTGATGAGGTTATGAATCTTCATCGACTGAGATGGTTGGGCCACGTATTACGTATGCCTGAACACCGATTACCACGACGTGCAATACTAACCGGTGTAGGGGTTGGTTGGAAGAAAGTTAGGGGCGGCCAAACCAAAACGTGGCATCAGTGCTTGAAGTCACTAACTTCTAGTCTGAGCCATGTTGGTAGATGCAGACTACTTGGTTGGGGTCCGCGTGACTATCGTAACCAATGGTTGGAGACTCTTGGTGACATGGCTCAGAATCGATCACAATGGCGTCGGTGTATACACTCCCTGTCTTGCCTTAAACTAAGAGATTAAAATCACTTCATATCTTTCTTTCTACGAACTAATTCTTCCTTCCTATACTATATCCTTATTGCAACCTTTGACCTAACCACTCCTATGAATCCGGTGTTCATCTTGTTGTGCTAATGAGGTATGGCAACCTGGACCGATGCACATATGTGCCTGGTCCTACGTTGTAGCTGACTGACTGACTGAATGCAGCACGCCACCTTAAATGAGCACGTGTCAGGTTCTACATAAAACAGTGAGTACTATTTAAAATAACAAAACCTGATTTGGTGGCAGTAACTCACCTTTACCATTGAACACGGCAATTTTTGGCTTGTATTTTCTCATTTTTTCAAGCATGATTGCTGCACCAGCCTTCATCTCCTTACGTGTAAGTTCAGCTGCACCTTTGGTTGGTCTTGTACAAACATTAGTGAATCCGATACCGTAATCCAACATTTTAGAATCATCATAGCAACTGACAGCCATTGGAACCAAACCAGCTTGTGATAAACATGTCCAGAAATGATTTCCAGGACCAGCATAATGGTGTCCAACGTGTGCTGAGGCCAAGCTAGGGTTAATCCCCACTATAACAATATCAAGTCCTTCTTTTAGGTGATCAGGAAGGGATTTGTTTTTTAGTTCCTCCTCGGAAAGATTATTGAAACGTTCAATTTCTTTCGCCGATGGAGATCCCATAAGTCCATCACTTGACGGAACTTGTACAATCCCGTTACTAAGAGAAAGCAGGAAATGATTAACTGAAAGCTGACTTTAGCAGTTGGAAGTGTAAAAATAGGTTTGGGAAACAAATTTAAAAAAAAACAAACATGAAACTTCCCGATGTTCTAGGTACCTGAAGGTTTTAAGTTGAATTTGCTGAACTACTTTTGTATTATTAATGTTCCTCCCATAAAACTTAGAATTTAGTGATCACATGGTGTGTGAATGGTAGTAAAGCTAAAAAAGTCATTAATGATTTGACAGGAACTCTGTAGAATAATTCCCAGGACAAATGATACCACGTATGTTTCGTATATATTGTAGATCTCGACTCGTAATGATTCCTGAGGAAGTTTCTTGACTACACTCTACGACACATAAGCATAGCTAAGTCATGCAAGTCGACAAGGTTTTGTTTGCGTTACTGTGCACATAGGACAGACGATCAAGTTAGTCATAACTGACAAAAAGCCTGTGGCAAATATGTCAGCACAAGTCCTCGTGCCATAATTAGCAAAACGAGGCAAGTAAGAAAAGTCGAATTAACAGCAGAATCAATCATAATAGGGAAGAATAAACACTGAAGAATATAGTTTGAAAGAAGAGGATAAATTCGAGGGAATAATGGTGAAACCTCAATAAATGGAGTAAATGGATACACGATTGAACGGCAAAGAAGCACTACTGTTCAAGTTATACGTAGATGTTATTTTACTCGTCCCACAACCTTTAACACGTATATTGCCGAAAATTACACTTCATTTTTGATGAATGAGTGAGACCATAATTTATGGATGACCTTTAAGCAACGCTACATTTACCTTGAGAATTGTACCTACTTACAGGAGTTAAACGAGGACCATGGATTAGTGTAAGGAATAAGGATTAGGATTTACAGCTGGAGATTAGGGTTAGGGGTTAGACCTAGGGTTTTGTCAGGAACTGACAACAGCTATAATGCCAAAATGTTATACAGCCATACTGATGAATTAATTTCATGTCCAAATCCAAGACCAATTATCCTAAATCTGAAAGGTTCATCCATAAATTATAGTTTTCCCGATGAATGTGTATTCTTTGGAGGTGCCATAAGTCTTGAGCTTAGGTGGTAGCTTAATAATTAAGCCCTTCATACCTGTACTATTGAATCACAAGTTAGAAACACACCTCATGTACTTCCATTTAAACAGTTGGATGACATTAACAACTCACACAAACTTGTACGTGGTTAATTAGCTAGATTTTTACTTATGTGTATTTGCAGCCTCAATGGACATTTATTCTGATAATTTCACTTCACTACCCTGATGTAATGCAGCAACGCGAACAGGTGCACACTTGTTCGGGGCTCTATGCTGAGCAGTAGGTACTCCAGTTTAACCGTGAGCAAATTAATATAACAATGATGAATCGAAGCTAGTCAAATATCCAGAACATTAACTAGTTGGTTAGAACGCCCAACTACTAACATGTACAGAAGGAACAAATAAATGACCAAAGTACAGTGAGCACAGATTTTTAAAATAAAGTTATCGTACTGAGGTATCGGAAGGTTAGATTTATAGTAACTACATGGGAGCGGAAGCTTTTTAACCATTCACAATGTACTTCACAAGACTTGGTACAAGTTTGATTAATTCAAAGTCTTATTTACAAGCTACGCAAACAATTTCTACCCTTTAAAGGTTTCAATTAGATGGATATTATCCTGTCCATTTTACACGAAGACGAATGTTCATTATCCCTACCTCATTACTTTAGTAATTTCTTTAGGTCAATTCCGCAAGTAAAATAATTTACACTGACAAAACAGAACGGCAGCTTCATATGCGACATAACGATGGACATAAATGAAATAATTTAAATACCACTGATGACTAATACTATAGCGATTAAGAATGCATAATCTCAATCCTTTTGATACGTAGTGGACGTGCATCCTAGCTGCACTACAGTACTAGAGTCGTCACATACTATTGTCTCGTCTTTGCCGACAATACTCAAACGTTTCTGAACAATACTCAAGCGACCAAATAAGAAAATCGGACCCAGTAAATGCTTGTTTTCACCATACCAACGTAAAGAAACAGTCTCATACAGAATATTTCTTACCTCATTTCTCCTGAAGAAAGAATTGTCGTACCCCCATCGCTTGACATGGAGACCATTACACTAACAATAATATAAATAACAGAATAAACTCACTCATTTTGAGAAACAACAGCCATATCGAAGTTCTCTTGTTTAATTACTGATCCCATATCGAAATTCTCGGGTTTAATATTGGCCATTGATTGTGCGTACTGTTCACTCCACTCCATAACTGTTTACTGATTGGTGATTATAAAATAGATATATATCCTCAACTAGAAACACAGTCTAAACAGGTAAGCAAGCATTAAACATCAAACGACTGACTCGACCTTTCCAAGGCGGAATACATCATTTGTGGTGTATTAAAACACGTTCAACCTTTTCATGTTGATACATATAGTTATTGACGAAGTTACGAAATTTTCAATCAGGAAGGTGCTTTTAATGTTACCGACTAACCATCGGGACTTTCAGATAGAATTCGTGATATGTGAAGCCAAAATAAGAACAATAAACTTCGCAGACTAGAAAAAGTGTGACTGGTAAAGAAAGATTACAAGATTTCGACGTCCTGATTCAGTAGACAAGTTTATGGTCATTAAGGGCGAATTCCAGCAACAGTTTGGAAATTTGAATTAGTCGTTGCGATGGTTTACGTAAGTACGCACATTCCCATGCAAGCAGGAGAAAAAGACTAAAGATTGATAAAAAGTCATGACTTGAAAAGTCTGCGCATTGCAATGTGACCGCTGAGAAAAGTTTTTGAGCGTTGAATCTGAGTTTTTTCTTAGGGGAGTTCAAGTTTTAAGGTACGGAGTAGGGAAGAATACTTAATAGATGAATCGGTTTTAAACATTAAGTTGAAAAATAAGAACGAGAAGAATTTAATGATAGGTCTCACACACACACCCTGTAGAAAATAATACTAAACTAATTTTGAAAAAGGTTACGGCAGATAATACCGGGAGAGTTTTAGCAATATTTTTAGAGAAGTCTAAACAGTCTGAGTAGTGCACTCGGTCAGTTGCAGATACGTTTTGGCAATATGTTTTAACAAAAGTGAGTTTTATTTCGAATTTTCTGTATCACATAGCCAGCCGCATATGATCATCGTTATGTTCCAAGCTCGGCGTTTGCACCAGTTATTTGCTTTCTTGTATTCCCACTGAATTAGTTGTGTAATACTTTATACACCACAAGTGATATTTTTAAATTTGACATTGATGTCAACAACATCGAGACATGTATTACTCATATCGAAGCCCGTGCTTATAGCGTTGATGTAGATTGTGAAAAGCAGTGTGCACAACATACTACCCTTCATAACACCACTGGTTATTTTTGAGGTGTAGATGTCGCAGAGTTGATTTTGGTTGTTTGGTATCTACTCGGGAATAACGATTTAATCAGTTGCAAAACATCCTGGCAGCGACATCCGATTTGTTCTGGGAATTCTATATTGTACCAAAATATGATATTGAATAAAGCCAATAATAATAACATGGTTAATAATTCCAACAGACTGACGTTTGTTACTAAATGAGATTATGAGTGACCTTGTTAATGGCTTTCTTGATATGAGATACAGTAGGACCACTAGTAGCCTTCGGTCATGTATGTAAGTAAGCTCGTTCAAAAGTCAATCAGACGTGTAGTGTAGAACAGAATTTTAACGACGTCATTAGGGCTTCTTTAAGTAAGCAGTCAAATCAGATTGATATTTTATCACCCTCTATTAAGTATGACATAAAAGGGGTAATATTCATTGGTCTGTGGTTCTCGATTAGCCAATCGCTGCGATTCAAGAACACCTGAATAGATGGATAGAATACTATAAGGAACTCTTGAATAAACCAGTCCCACTGAACCCACTGCACATCAAAACAGCACGCATAGATTTCATAGATATCACTCCACCAAAAATCGAAGGAATCGGGATGGTCATTAGAAAAGTTAAGAATAATGGGAAAGCAGAAGGATCTGACAATATACCAGATGAAGCATTGAAGTGAGGCATAGAAGTGACTGAAAACATGCTCAACGTTCTATTCAGGAAGATTTGAGAGAAAAAACTGTAGTGAAGGAGAACACGGGTGGGGGTAACCAAATGTATGCGAACGAAAATTGCGAAAGCTCTTTGTAAAATCTTGGAAGCATAGAATAAACTCTTCATTTGCTAAATATCAATCAACTGTCTCAGACTTGACCATTCCTTCGTTTCCACATCAACCAATCTCTATCGTCGTCCTATTTTCTCCGATTTTATTAACATTCTACCACCAGGCACATAACTTTAATAATACATACCACCTATATCTGTTGACATCAGTAGCATACACCACAGAACAAGTGTCGATGAACCAGTAAGAAGGACACCTCATTTACACGCCAAAGGAAGGAGATCTGAGCCAATGTGAGAACTACAGAATCATCATGCTACTGTTAGTACCAGCAAAAGTTTTCAACAGAGTATTGCTGAACAGGATGAAGGACTCGGCAGACGCCCAAATAGGGGCCATCAGATCGGATTCCGCAAGGATAGGTTGTGCAGTAACAAAATCATAACGCTACGGATCATCGTGAACAATCAGTGGACTGGATCTCGTCACTATACATAAACTCCCTTGACTATGAGAACGCACTTCACAACGTGGATGGGAGGAAATTATGGAACCTTCTTCGACACTATAGAGCACCCGAGAAAATCGTCAACGTGATGTGGAATTCATACGACGGATTACAATTCATAATCGTGCATGGAGGACAGCTGATAGACGCATTCCAAGTGAGGATCGGAGTCAGACAAGTCTGCTAATTCTTGCCTTTCTCTTCTGGTGGTTAACTGGGTTATGAGGACCTCCATATCTCGATGGAATCACGGAACATAATGGACAGCTTGGAAACGGGAAAGCGAACAACCGAGGAATGCAGTACGTTGAGACTCGGAGTCATAAATAAAGAGGATGAAACACAGCTGGAAGCAACTCTAGAGGACTATCCAGGACAGAATTCTGTAGAGAATGAAGGTGAGCGGCCTATGCTTCTCTACGAGAGGTAACAGACATGGGTAAGTAAGTAAGTATGTGTAGAATTATGGTCTACTATGATATTAGTACTGCTCTAATAATAGACCTAATCCTAAATTTGTAGATTTGTCATGATATAACTGCCTAATCTATAAGATCTTACGTGGAAGTCACACCATCGACTACACCAACTCACTGTATCGCATCAATTACCAATACATGATGTAGAACAAGGTTAGGCTAGAGAAAGAACAATATATTTAATATGAATAGAAGATATAAGGTAACATTCAGCAGAGACCACATCTGCATGGCCGAGCCATGCCACTCGATCAACTCCAGTCCATTCAATTCATTCTCCGCGCCTTCTCCATTGTTAGGTATTTCCCCGAGTTAAATATTGAATATCTATTTTCTGAGTAGTCTCGTGTTCACAGCTTTGTGGATTGTGTGGCTATTGTCCAATGTCACTACACTACTCTCCCACCAGAATCAACGTGATGTTGGTTCGATACCAAATTGGATGGGATCGTCGCGCGCCGGAGGTTACCAAGGATAATAAAAATCCTCCAGGTATTGGTAAGCTGAAAGATAAATCAAAAAGAAAGCGGCAGCATCTGGTCGGGAAATACATGTAATAATTTTAAAATATCTGCCTTCATGCTTAAAACGCTTGAAATGAGAATTTGGGTGAAGATTATTTGAACTATAAAGAATGGCATAACAATGCCACTACATATGTAAGTAAGTAAATCTCACGAATATACCGCCTCCGAGGTTCACTGATTTGCCAGTCTTATCCTTTGACAACATCACTGTTTTACCGCTCTGTAAATCATCATATACTAATTTTCATACCCGTAAAAATGGCATATAAACGTTCGTCAGAAATATTTTATTATCATTTCTGAAGGCTATTAAGTTGAAGTCCCGCGTTAAATATCGAAAATGAATTTCAGTCGTTGCAACATGGATACAAGACGTAGTTTTGTGGAACTAAAGTCTACTATGATATTAATACTGCTCTAATAATAGACTTAATCCTGAAATTGTAGATTTGTTATGATGTGACTGCCTAATATATAAGATCTTACGTAGAAGTCACATTATTATCTACCCTGATTCACCACGTTGTAACAATCATCAGTACGTGATGAAGAACACATTTAGGTTGGAGATAGAGCAATATATTTTATGTGGATAAAAATAACGTTACATAAGTAAGATCACGCCTGTAAGATCGAGTCATGCCATCCGATCAATACAAACTAAGCGAATTCATTCTTCCTGGCTTCTCCGTCGTCGGGTTTTTCGTCACATTAAATGTCGAGTATCTAGTTTCCTAGTTGTCTCGCGTTCAGCTTTGAGGATTCTGTGGTTAGGGCCTAATGCCACTACACTACTCCCCCACCAGTATGAACGTGATGATGAAGAATCCTCCGGGTTTTGATAAACTGAAAGATCAATCAGAAAGACGGCAGTAACTGATTGGGAAATAAATGCAATAACTTTCAAGTGTCTGTTTTAATGGTGAACTTATAGGTAGTACAAGTATTCTGCGTTCAGAAATATAAAAAATAATCAATATTGTAGAACTGTTAGTACTGGTACTATTTTTGGGTTAAATTATTAAGTCAAAGAACGTTTATGACGGTAAGCTGTCCATATGAGTTGATTTCCAATTGCATCTGCATGAGTAGACCAACCGAAAGAACAAAAGCACTACCGTGGAGAAGAATTCAAACTAGTGTTCTAGTTAGTTTGGTGCGGTCCATTTAATTATGAGGAGATTTTCTCGACCTCATTTTTACTTCACCGTGATAGAATTTAGTAGTAGCACTAATACATTAGTGTTTCGTAAGAGACATGCTCTAGACTCAATGTTCTGCATTGCCATAGACTATTTATTTATATTCATACCTACCGGCTGATGGTGCATACAAGTTAGTTGCAAGTATGCAGTTTAGTATAAGACGGAATACGATTTAATTAAGATATAGTGATAAGTTATTGAAATCAGTTTAGCCTATGTGGTGCTGCAAGATGAATTTGGTTAAATAAGTTTTTACAAGATAATTAACAGTGGGTGATGCTAATGTGATTAACGGGGGAAACACGAGTTGTAACCTAGAGGAGTACACGGCCACCTCGCATCTATGATAATGGCTTGAACCTTAGTCAGTGTAACGACCGAACAACCA